ATTGACTTGAAAAGCCAACTTTGATTAAACAGAAAGGAACCCAGAGTAATATTTAGGCAAAAACCCCATAATTGTATCATTTTCTTGGATATATAAAATGCAAGTGGTTAACACAATAAAAAACTTAGAGATCTCATGGAATTAATGAAATTATAGACACTCTAATAGTCTAATATTGCCTAAGGTTACGTAGTGTGTTAAAGTCTCGCACTGGAAGGTCAACCTGTTAGGGGGTGTAACTCATGTGTTAATATAGCACTTTGCTACTTCACAATTTTCCGGTGTGGGACTTTATCATCCCCTCCTTACGACCAGACGCTTTGTCTGGATCGTGCAGTCATTCATTTTTTTCGTCGGTTCGTCATTGTCATTTTTTATAATCGTGTCATCAGTTTTCATATGGGGGCTGATAGAAATCCTACGTATGCATGCCATGCATACGCCCATACATGCGGGTCAAACTGGTCAACCGTAATTATCCTATGCGGCTGCCATTAATTATTTAATATTTCATTATATAAAATGTTGTAGTTTATCATCTTTACAGTTTGTTGTATGAGCCGCAAGTCTCTCTTTATTTAACCACTTACGTAGCTAGTAGACTCTCACAAGATGTATACTACTGTGAAGAGATAAGCATTGTAAATGTATATAAATATTGAAGGAATGCAAAGCAGCCTCACGGCGAATTATACATTCCATCTTGGTATCAGACTCTATTTCCTTTCCTTCGGGCCTGTCTATCAATGGCTGCCCCTACCAAATCTCCTGCCTTCCACCCCGCACTCGCCATTAGCTCGATCAAGAACCTTATTCCCCTTACACTTGATACGGAAAAAGTGCAGTATTCCTCTTGGGCTGAATTATTTAAAATCACAGCCCGTGCGTATGATGTCCTTGACCACCTGTCTCCGGCGGCAACACCGCCTCCCGATTCTGCCACTCTCTCTGACGAAGACCGTCTCCGCCAAGCCGAAGAAAAAGCTTTGTGGAACCGTATTGATGCCGTTGTCCTACAATGGATCTACGGAACCATATCTCACGACCTATTGCATACCATCCTCAAACCCGACTCCACCGCCTTCACCGCTTGGACTCGTTTGAAAGATTTGTTTCATGACAACAAAAATTCGCGAGCCGTCCATCTGGAGGATCTCTTTTCTCATACCCGATTGGCAAATTTTCCTTCCATCTCCGCCTACTGCCAGGAGCTTCATACCATTGCCACTCAACTTGCCAACGTCGACGCCGAGGTTAATGACAAACGTCTAATCTTACGTTTACTCAACGGCCTCACTACTCCCTATGCCTCTGTAGCTTCCTTCATCCAGCAACTCGATCCCCTACCCACGTTCGAGAAAGCTCGGTCCATGCTTTTACTGGAAGAAACCCGCCAGGCACACCAAACGACGGACTCTTTCTCTTCTCCGTCTGCTTCCGCTCTCGTGTCAACAACTTCCATCCGCTCAGACTCGGCCTCCACTTCTGGAACACGTGGTGGACGCGGCAGTCGCACTAGTTCCAACAGGGGCAAGGGTCGCGGCAGAACCTCTGGAGCACGTCCACATGAGACCTCGCCATGGCCCCAGACTCCTCCACCCTGGTCTTTCCCTTCTTGGGCTCCATGGATGCAACCCTACTGGTCACCCCCTCCGTGCCCCTACCCTACTGCTCCTAGCCATTCTCCTACTGCCCGTCCTGCATCTACAACAGCCGGGATCCTTGGCCCACGTCCTCATGCATTTACCGTTGGTCATAGTCCTTTCCCAGCGACACAGTCTTATGTTCCCACAGATATCCAATCTGCCATGCATACCATGACCCTCAACCCTCCCGATGACAGTTGGTACATGGATACCGGGGCCACCTCTCATATGACTTCGGATAAAGGTACTCTCTCGTCTTTTATTAATACCGGTTCTAAAGGATCTATCATAGTCGGCAATGGTTCTTCCATTCCAGTTTCGGGTCATGGTCATTCTATTTTACCCCCACCTTGCCCCCCTCTTCAACTACGTCATGTCTTATATACTCCTCATATTATCAAAAATTTAATTTCGGTACGTCAATTCACTATTGATAATCATGTCTCACTAGAATTTGACCCATTTGGTTTTTCTGTGAAGGATCTCAGTACCAGAACTCCAATCCTGAGGTGTAATAGTCAAGGTGCATTATACCCGTTGCGTGCTCTCTGTCCCTCCCCGTCACCATCCAGTTTCGCTGGCATATCATCCACCCTATGGCATAATCGTCTTGGTCATCCCGGCCTTCCTGTTTTTCGTAGGCTTAGCACAAATAAACTTATTGATTGTAATAAAACATTTGATGCTATTTGTCAATCTTGTCAAATGGGGAAACATAATAAATTGCCCTTTTCCCCCTCTTTCTCTTACACTCATGCCCCGTTTGATATTATACACAGTGACTTGTGGACTTCTCCTGTTTTAAGTTCCACAGGTCACCGTTATTATATTTTGTTCCTTGATGACTTTACCAATTTTCTTTGGATATATCCTCTCCATCATAAATCGGATGCTTACTCTAAATTTGTACAATTTTTTAAATTTGTACAAAATCAATTCGGCAAGTCTGTTAAGACCTTACAATGTGACAATGGTCGTGAATATAACAACTCTTTATTTCACAATTTTTGTTCCACACATGGGATATCTTTCCGTTTTTCCTGCCCCTATACCTCCCCACAAAATGGTAAAGCCGAACGCAAAATTCGTTCAATTAATAATATTACCCGCACCCTCCTACTACATGCGTCTGTCCCACCCACTCTCTGGCCTCACGCCGTCTTAATGGCCACTTATCTACACAATATCCTCCCATGCAAATCTCTCTCATATATTTCTCCTACCCTCATGTTATATCATAAACAACCGACCTATTCCCACTTACGAATTTTCGGTTGTCTATGTTACCCTCATATTCCCACTCCTCATAAACTAGCCGCCCGCACCACACCCAGCGTGTTTCTCGGCTATCCATCTCAACACAAAGGATACAAGTGTCTTGACATAAATACTCACCGAATATTCATCTCCCGTCACGTCACGTTTGACGAATCAAATTTTCCTTTTCAAAATTCAACCACATCACCCCCTACGTATGATTTCCTTACTGACCAACCTTCTCCATATTTGTTATCTCAAATATTCCCTACTGCCACCCATCCCCATGTGTCTTCCGTATCTCCCCCACCCAATAATCCTCCAGCCACGTCATTTCATGACTCCTCCTCCTCCCAGCCGAGTCAACCTCCTCCCTCGCCAAGTGCACATCACCCCCCCACTAATACACACCACATGCTCACCCGTAGCAAAACTGGGACATTTCGGCCAAAGCCAATTTACAACCTCAACTCCATACAAACCCCCTCCGTCATATCCTCCCCCATTCCAACATCACATGTCCAGGCCCTCCTTGACCCCAATTGGAAGTCGGCTATGATTTCTGAATTTACGGCCCTTATTAATAATAAGACGTGGGAGTTGGTTCCCCGTCCTCCTAATGCAAATGTGATTCGTTGTATGTGGTTGTTTAAACATAAATACAGGTCCAATGGGAGTCTTGAACGTCATAAAGCTAGGTTGGTTGTCAACGGTAAATCTCAACGCCCCGGTATTGATTGTGATGACACTTTCAGTCCGGTGGTCAAACCGGCTACAATCCGCACTGTCCTTAGCATAGCTTTATCTCATTCTTGGCCTCTCCACCAACTCGACGTCAACAACGCATTTCTACATGGTTATCTTGGTGAAACCGTATACATGCACCAACCTCCCGGCTTTAAAGATGACACCCGCCCCAATCATGTTTGTCTTTTAAAGAAATCCCTATATGGCTTAAAACAAGCTCCCCGTGCATGGTATCACCGGTTTGCCTCACATGTTGCTACACTGGGTTTCCAACACAGTCAGGTTGATCATTCCCTCTTCATTTATCACTCTGAAGGTGCTACTGCATACTTGCTTCTATACGTCGACGATATCGTCCTGACTGCTTCTTCGCCTACCTTACTTAAGGAGATTATTTCTAAACTTGCTGCTGAGTTCTCAATTAAGGATCTGGGACCCTTATCCTATTTTCTTGGCATCTCGGTCTCTCACACTCCTGGCAGCATCTTCTTATCTCAGGCTAAGTATGCTGCGGAAATTCTAACTAGAGCCGGCATGCACTCATGTAACCCCTCCAACACTCCAGTTGACACCAAAGCCAAATTACGCGCGGATATTGGCTCACCAGTTCCCGACCCTACGCTATACCGCAGCTTAGCCGGAGCCTTGCAATATCTTACGTTCACCCGACCGGATCTTTCTTATGCAGTTCAACAAGTATGCTTGTACATGCACGACCCTAGGACACCACATCTTGACGCCATTAAGCGGATCCTCCGGTACGTCAAAGGTACATTGCATCACGGCCTTCACCTCCGCTCCTCGGCCACAAATCCATTGCTAGCATACACTGATGCCGACTGGGGCGGCTGCCCGGACACTCGCCGGTCAACATCTGGGTATTGCATTTTCATGGGAGATAATTTAATCTCTTGGTCATCCAAACGTCAAGCTATCATATCTCGGTCAAGTGCCGAAGCTGAATACCGTGGGGTCGCAAATGCGGTAGCCGAAACATGTTGGCTCCGAAATCTACTACTCGAACTTCGGCATCCCCTCACCCATGCATCCCTCATATATTGTGACAATGTCAGTGCCATATACATGTCTCACAACCCGGTTCAACATCAACGGACAAAGCATATTGAAATGGACATTCATTTCGTCCGAGAACGGGTAGCACTTGGTCATGTTCGGGTTTTACATGTCCCATCTCGTTACCAATATGCTGATATCTTCACCAAAGGACTTCCCCGGATTTTATTTGATGATTTTCGATCCAGTTTGAACGTATGCTTACCCCCCGATCAAACTGCAGGGGCGTGATAGAAATCCTACGTATGCATGCCATGCATACGCCCATACATGCGGGTCAAACTGGTCAGCCGTAATTATCCTATGCGGCTGCCATTAATTATTTAATATTTCATTATATAAAATGTTGTAGTTTATCATCTTTACAGTTTGTTGTATGAGCCGCAAGTCTCTCTTTATTTAACCACTTACGTAGCTAGTAGACTCTCACAAGATGTATACTACTGTGAAGAGATAAGCATTGTAAATGTATATAAATATTGAAGGAATGCAAAGCAGCCTCACGGCGAATTATACATTCCATCTGGGGCCCACACCATGGATCAATTTGGCTCTGATACCATGTTAAGACTCAGGGTTCCATCCTAAAAAGTCAACCTGTTAGAGGGAATAACACATGTGTTAATATAGCACTTTGCTACTTCACAATTTTCCGGTGTGAGACTTTAATATAGTTAACATTAAACAAGTAGTGCTGAAGCCGCCAGTTTATACGCCATGTTACGTTCTTCCGATCCAGACAATTGTTGTAGTGTGATGTCCATATATGACTTAAAATCAAAGAAAAATTAAGAGGTTATTTATTTTGATGCTATTTAAGTATATTATTAGTATATTGATTGATGTAGTATCTCTCTGTCGATATATAAGTATGGAGTGGATCTGAATTCAATTCAACAACCAGAAAGTACAACTAAAGAGGCCAAGACGTTTGGAACTGAGGTGGAAAGCCACCATACCCATTCACAATAGCTTTTCCCATCTCTTGAGTTTCATACATATTTGTTCCCTGCAGCCACAACAACAATATTATACTTCGTATATGTATGTGTATTATACGGAGTATTACTTTTACGTTTAACTTGTTCAGTCGTATTACAAATTTCCCCATTTTACTAACTACTCATGTAACTAAAAAAATAACTTCACTTTTTAATATTCCTTTCCTACTTTCTTTTTGTTTCATTTTTCTGCATTATTTGTTAATAATACCCTTCAAAGTTTAATTTCAATTTTGTACACATTCAAGTGGAGTAATGTATTACTAGTATGATATTCTGATCTCTAAGAGAGTAGAGTTTGGATCAAATAAAAAAAATTAAAGTGTAAAATAAGAATTATCTCAACCGTCTAAAAAGTCAATCAAATGTACCATAGACCTTATATGATGCACCTTATCAATATTTACGAAAATGCCAACACGTCTTAATTTTGGAAAAGTGAATCATATAATGTTTATTTGAAAAGTGCATTAGATAAAGTTATTGTTCGATCGTCAGATTGACAGTTTGGACGGATGCGATTAATTATTATTTTACACGTAGGAAACTTAAGAATCATACTTTAAATGCCATGCATCTAACAATATTTCAAGATTGTTATTAGATATAATAAATGTAGCAAAAACTGAGAGATACCTTCACATTTGTCATTGTAAGTAGAACAAATTTGTTACATTATTAAGTTAAGCTAATAAAACTTTACAAAACCTTGCTTTAAATCTTCAATAATTTTTTACTCGTTTACTTTATTGGGATTAAGCGTTAATAAAAACATAGCTACTTAGTGTATTATGACGTAATTGTTTATGCTTTAAATGAAATTAATGGGGAAGAAGCTGCACTACCTGATGTATAATGTCCATTGCATCCATATCTGATGTGTTGAAGTCATAGAATAAACTTGCTGCTGAGAGTTTCATGGAAAGGAACTAATATTTATAGAAAAAACATAAGAGCTAAATTAGTACATACCTAATAAAAACTATACAGAAGGGGTTGAAATATATTAATTGAACCAATTCAAATATTTGTATTAAAAATAACATATCTTATTCACAAGGAATTGAAAAAAATAAAATTAACATAACACACATCAATTTGATTCTGCAGTGATCTTATGTAGTTGATTATTACGTCCAGCATTACGGCCATTCCCATAGTCTGCAACGATATATCAGGATAAATTTAAAAAGAAAAAGACAGATTCAGAATATGAAATTTTTATACTGATTAAACTTTCAAGAGAAGATGTAAATAACTTTGATAGGGGTGTTATAATTACCTTATAACAGCCAGGAACCAAACCTTGCAAAGATTTGAGCTTTTCATTTATTTTTTCTCTTCTTTGCTACAAGGCCAAAAAAACAATGCATGAGTATAAATACAACCATCTTTAGATCACATCCTATACAACAAACTGAACTTTTTTCAACAATATACTTTGCTTATCCAAAGCTAGAGCCTAGATGAATAAATAAATAATTAGTGTCTCAAAGTCTTATATAGTGTTTTATTGTTTTAAAAATATCCGGTGTGGAATAATAGCATTGTGCGTATTTCAAAGTAAGTGTTTCAACTTTCAAGTACTCTTATTGATGCTAGTAAAAGTGTTAGCTTTGCTTGTGTAGCTAGATACGGTATTTTTAAAGCGCTAGACTAAGTGTTTATATAAATTAAAACTCTAAATTAAAAGCGCTACTATAGTGTTGATCACGCAATCGAGCCACACAATCATATACACAAGTGTTATACACATAAGTGCATATATATCGCCGTATGCACACATTGGTCCAAATAAACAACCAAATGTCCTCGCCATGAAAAATATAGAACGCATCTTAATTAATTATGCAACAACTAGATGAGAGTATCAGTCATATGCATTTTAGGATGTTTTACTTAGACTCATTTCAATTTCAAATCAGATCAGACTTACACAGATCAGACCAGATCAGACAAGAGTTGAACATATCAGACTAGACTTCAAAAGTAGTAAAATACACATAGACCAGACATCGACCAGACCCGACCAGATCAATTCCGATAAAACCTGACCAAAAATAAATAAATCAGATCAAACTAGAAAACTTCAATCCAACTAAAAACATTTTAATCACTTTCGGGGGACCTATCAAATAGTAATTGAATTATAATGCGTTGTTCTTTTTTATCATAACAGCTCTAGAATTGGTTAACTAGGATTAGTTAAATAGAACTGGTATGCTTTTTTACGAAAAAAAATCATATCAGTTCCAGTTAGCTATTTAAAATAATGTTACAACACTTTTTTCAATATAAATACAGTCATACTAACTATCATTGTAAAATAAGTACATATAATTATACTCAATCAAAGTTAATTCAACTTGATAATTATACGGAGTAGTATATAATTATAAATATTACTCCGTGATATTTATACGGAGTATATACGAAGTACTCCGAGATTTGACTCTTACATTCCACTTTTGGGGCTATATTATTGGACTTTGCATTGAAAGAAGAATGAGGTGTAAAGTCAAATGATTTTTGTGTTAACAGAGTGCACACATTATGATTCTGGAAAATGGAGTACAGAGTTCGATATTACCAAAAAAAATGGAGTGCAAAGTCAAATTATCCCTTTTTTAAATTTGAAATTAAATTTGTAAAATATTGCAACAATGTAATGATCTATAAATAACAGGTAGACATTAAAATATCTTTCAATGTACATTTGGCATGAAGAATAAAATAGCTAGTGGGTATTGTGTGTTGGGAAGTTGTGCAAAGGAAAGATAAGTGTCTAAGAATGTGTAAGAAATGTAGTTCACCACAATTTCTTGCCAATAAGGAAAATGAAAGATTATTTTGGGATGAACGGGACTGAAAATCTGAAATGCACATAAACGAAAGAAGATTAACAGTCCTGAAGCTTTCTTAATTAGTTTGGGAAAATAGGAGATGAATACGAAGGAAAAGAAATCTTTGGTGTTGCTTGTCAAATTCTAAGTTATTGACCAAAAAAGATTCTTCTGGAGATGAATTTGAACCAGTAAAATCAAAATTTGAGTTTGATCGGAAGATGTCCGCCGAGGGGTTCAAGTCTTCCATCTACAATTTGACGGATAATAAAATGGAAAAGGGAAAAATATCAAATAAGTCACCGTACTATGTTGAAAAAGTCAATTAGGCCCTCGTACTTTAGAAACACTCGATTAAGTCCTCAAATTATTAAAAAACGTTCAATTAAGCTCTTTTGGTCGGTAAGTAACCGGTTAAACAGCGACGATGTGGTTGAACCCCAGCAACAGCGGCTGCCGGGAAACGGCTTACATTTAACCGGGAAACCGGTTACTTACCGACCAAAAGGGCTTAATTGAAGGTTTTTTAATAGTTTGAGGACTTAATTGAGTGTTTTTGTAAAATACGAGTCTAATCGACTTTTTCGGCATAATACGGGGGCTTATTTGATAGTTTTTCCAATGGAAAAATAATTTCAAGATGCAATCTAGGAAGCACGGAAACGTCTATTTGGTCCCTGTTTCCGTCCCGGAAACGTTTCGGAAACGCGAAACGGCCGGAAACGCCCGGAAACGGCTGGGAAACTCTGCGAAACGTTTCTGATGATCTGGGCTTCTGGGCCGGGGTTGGGAAACGTTTCGGAAACGTTAATTGAGGTGGGCTGGGGCGTTTCCGGATGATTTTACAAAAAAAAAGGTCGGTCAATAATTTTATTAAAAACCTGCTGCTTTCTTTCGCTGCGAGTCTGCGCGCCTAAGCGACTTGTTATCCTCTCGGCGTATCCACAGTACCACTCGATACCAACTGTAGAACGCTAGGTGACGAAGGGAGACGCAGAGTGTGGAAGGTGCGCTGGAGTGCTGGACTTGGTGACTGCTTCGCTGGAAGGGATACTTGGTCAAGGAAGAGAGACGGTCACTGCTTTGCTTCTTCGCTGGAAGGAAATCTTTATTTAAGGAGATTCTTGTTTGAGTAAGTGCTTCCTATTTATTACTCCAATGGATGCTAGAGCAAAATTAGATGAAGAAATTGCTAGGATGTTTTTTACAGGAGGATTGCCATTTAATCTTGCTAGGAATCCATATTATGTGAGGGCGTTTTCTTTTGCTGCCAATCACAATTTAGGAGGTTATGTCCCACCGGGTTACAATAAATTGAGGACTACTTTACTTCAACAAGAGAAGGCAAATGTTGAAAGATTATTACAACCACTCAAAGCTACTTGGCCAGAAAGAGGAGTGACAATTGCGACTGATGGTTGGAGTGATCCTCAAAGAAGACCTATAATTAATTTTATGGCAACTTCTGGAAGTGGTCCCATGTTTCTTAAAGCAGTGAACTGTATGGGTGAATTTAAATCAAAAGAATTCATTGCTAACTTGATGAAAGAAGTAATTGATGAGATAGGTCATCAAAATGTGGTGCAGGTGATCACTGATAATGCTTCCAATTGCAAGGGTGCTGGAGAAATTATTGAAGGTATGTATCCTCACATTTATTGGACACCTTGTGTAGTGCATACTTTAAATCTGGCCTTAAAGAATATTTGTGCGGCAAGGAATGTGGAGAGCAACACAGAGGTTTATGATGAATGTCATTGGATCACTGAGATTCATGGTGATGCTATTCACATAAAGAATTTCATCATGAATCATACTATGATGCTATCCATGTTCAACAAATTTGTGTCCCTTAAATTACTTTCTGTGGCGGACACCCGTTTTGCATCTATAATCGTGATGCTTAAGAGGTTTAAGCTTATAAGACGTGGTCTTGAGGCTATGGTATTGAGTGATGAGTGGGCATCATACCGTGAGGATGATCAAGGAAAAGCAAGGTTTGTTAGAGAGAAGGTTTTAAATGAGTATTGGTGGGATCAAGTTGATTACATTCTTGCTTTCTCAGATCCTATCTACAGTATGATTCGAGCATGTGATACTGATAGAGCGTGTCTTCATTTGGTGTATGAGATGTGGGATTCCATGATTGAGAAAGTCAAAATTGAAATTTATAAGCATGAAGAAAAGTCTCTCAGTGAAGATAGTGCTTTTTTTAAAGTGGTATATGATATTCTTGTTGCCCGTTGGGGGAAAAGTTCAACACCGCTTCACTGTCTAGCTCATTCCTTAAACCCAAGGTATGTCATACTTTAATATCATTATTAGTTAGCCATTATATTTTATTTAATATTTAGTTGCCATTATATTTTATTTAATATTTAGTTAGCCATTATATTTTATTTAATATTTAATTAGCCATTATATTTTATTTGATTTAATTATTAAAGTCTAGGTTGTATTATTTTTATAATAGGTTTTATAGTGAAGTTTGGCTTGATGCGGATCGTGCTAGGGTTCCTCCTCATAGAGATGGTGAGATCTCTCAAGAGAGAATGAAATGCTTCCGAAGGCTCTTTCCAAGTGGTGATGATTATGACAAGGTTTTGGATGAATTTGCTTCTTTTTCACTAAAGATGGGACCATTTGCAGATATTACATCTCTTTCAAAGAGGGGAAATACGGATCCTAAGAGTTGGTGGGCTAACTTTGGTGCGCAAACACCACTCCTTCAGTCGCTTGCTTTTAGAGTTCTTGGTCAACCTACGTCTTCATCTTCTTGTGAAAGAAATTGGAGTACTTACTCCTTTATCCATTCACTTAGGCGGAACAAGCTAACTCCTAAGCGTGCAGAAGATTTGGTGTTTGTGCACAACAACCTTCGCCTCTTGTCAAGGAGTTCTGAGCAATACGCGGATGACAAGACTAAGATGTGGGATGTTGGAGGAGATGAGTTTGGCAACTTGGAAGAAATGGGCTATTTAGCGTTTGCTAATTTATCCTTAGATGAGCCAGAATTGGAGAGTGTGTTCATCAATGAATGAAACATTTACTTTTGTCATTTTATTTATTATGCACGTAGAATGGATTATATTGAGGACATGTTTTGTTTATTTATTTGATATTTGTTGGACGTAAACATTACCTATATTAGTAATATTTTATTTTTTTGTTCGGCGTTTCCTTGCCGTACCCGTATCTAGATATTTTGACATAAGAGTTTCCCCGTCCCCGTTTCCGTCCCCGTTTCCGTTTCCGTTTCCGTCCCGGTGCTACTTAGGATGCAATGGACGAAAAAAGGAAAGAAGGCAATACAAGTGAAAGAAAAGAAAAGTTTTTTTTTTTTACTTTTTTACTTGATATTTTTATTTTTTTTCATATTTACTTGTTTCTAAATTTTTACTCCTCCGTCCCTAAAAGGATTGCCCAAGTTTGAACAACACGTAGAATAATAAAGTAAAAACAGTGTGGTAAAGATTTGTGCAGAGGAGAGAGAAATAATAGGAACCACAAATTGATTGACTAAAAGAGAAAGTGGCAAAAATTTTGGAACAACCAGAAAAGGAAAGTTGACAAAGTTATAAGAGGGGAGAAAGGAGTATATTTTTAGAGTTTATGTATTCGAAATTTTCATGTTCTTTCTGCGACAAAAAATGTTGCGAATTAGGTAGATCTTGAAAAGGTTGTCTGAATCATTTTCTAGTACGTCTGTTTAGAGTACCTTTGTACTCTCATTTTCGACAATCATTTTGGGTGACGCTCAAATCAGTGATGCCGCACATTCCTAATGTGTTTGGGCAAATTGTGTACACAAATTATAAATTGTTTGTGTTTATAGCTATTTTGGCGTAAAATTTTGTCCTTCTTCAAACGAATTGTGTATGTACACAAACAATTAGGGGAGTTTGTGTACTAGTTCTGTGTATAACAAAAAGTTTTCGTTTTTCAATTGCTAATGAAGGTGTTTATCTAATCTTAGGACATTGTTCTTCTCAATCTGTTTATGCGGGTACCAATGACTCGCTGCCCCAGCCCTCATCAACGGGTGAAATACATAAATGGTACCTTAACTATTTATATAATTCCGCTTTGATATTTTACCTCTTAAATGAATCAAATCTGTTAAATGTCCCACACCGGAAAAGTTTGGATGAACGAAGTGCTATATTAACACATGGGCTACTCCTCCTAACAGGTTGACCTTTTAGGATGGAACCCCGTGTCTTAACATGGTATCAGAGCCAAATCGATCTATGGTGTGGGGCCCCTTATGAAAAATGACGACACGATAAAAAAAGTTGACGAACCAATGAAAAAAAGAATGACGACACGATCCAGACGAAGTGTCTGGTCGTGAGGAGGGGTGTTAAATGTCCCACACCGGAAATTTGAGAAGCACTAGAGTGCTATATTAAGCTTTGGGCTACTCCTCCTAACAGGTTGACCTTTTAGGATGGAACCCCGTGTCTTAACATGGTATCAGAGCCAAATCGATCCATGGTGTGGGACCCCTTATGAATCGTGATGACACGATTATAAAAAAAATGACAATTATGGCCAGATGAAAAAAAACAGGCCGATGAAAAAAAAATGAATGATGACACGATCCAGACGAAGTGTCTAGTCGTGAGGAGGGGTGTTAAATGTCCCACACCGGAAAAGTTTGGATGAACGAAGTGCTATATTAACACATGGGCTACTCCTCCTAACAGGTTGACCTTTTAGGATGGAACCCCGTGTCTTAACAAAATCAGTACCATAACCATATACTTCGTAAAAATGTTTCAATTGACAATATTACTCAAATTTCCGATCAAAAATCATATGTGGTAGCCGGAATTCTGTGCGAAAAGTCCATTTCACCTTACTTTTGTCCATGTTATCACTCTATGATGCAATTAAGACATGAAATTTTGATCGCCGTGTAGGATTTTTTGGCTGCAAGTTTGAATAATATTGTTAATCGAGAATTTTGTGTATTATGATACTGATTTGATTATTAAAAAATTAAGGTACCTAAACGCTAACAATACTACGGAGTAATAGTTAAGGTACCATTTATGCACCGAACCCCATCCACTCGCCCTTCAAGAATGGCTCGCATCTCCCTCACCGTCCTTGGCGATTCACCATTCTTAGATCAAACTTACAGAAATGGCTTCGATCACACTTCTCCTATATATATCGATACTATATATCTTTAATTATAGAAATGGCTTTAGTTATACTGAATACCACTGATTAAATCAATTTAATTATATTAATTACATTAATTTTTGTATGTGTATTTAAATATGCTCTAATTAACGCTATTTCAATTTTAATTTTGAGTGTTCAGGTGAATACTTTGGAACATACATAGCATTCATTAGTGGCTAGAAGGCTATAGACTCCTATAGTAGGTCCCGACCCACTTCAAATTTGGAAAAAACTTTGTTTTACGTGTAAAAATAGTTTACTAAAAATTATCTCAAAATTTTTTCTTTAGCTGCTCAGCTTGTAATATGCTCCTGGGTAAGCCATTGATTCCCCCTCCTGTATGGCCTAGCGTTATCTATCTATGTACAAACTAACTATGTACTGAGTATGGAAGAACTTACCCTTTCAGCCAAGCTATGGCTATCAGTAGCTTGCCCTCTTTTTGCTCTTACATGAACAACTTCTTTAGGCTTCCCATCACCTCCCTTTTCATTGCTCCTCCTCCTCTTCCTACGGCCATAACTCTGCCACATAAATGAAATCAATTTATCATTTGACCTTGCTATTTTGTTATCCAGTTATAATTAAGTCAAATATTTTCACAGTAAACTTCGTCCATAACTCTGCCACAAATATTAATTCTCAAACTTTATTATTATGCTAGTATAATTCCGTATTCTTTACTTAAATCTTACCGATTTATACGACGTAAGGAATTCAATTGTAAAACTTGAGTAATTGACCTCTATTGTTAAATAAGTGCAACGGTCAACATTTCACATTTGTCGAGACACAATTTTGACCATTAATATATATAATTCTCTATTAGTAAAAAAATAGATTTTGAAAATTTACAATGAGATAAATTTAAAATTATTTTTTTCAAAAATATATACATTAACAAATAAAACGCAGTCAAAGTAAAACACGTGAATAGTATAAAATTCAACATGTTGTACTTATTTAAGAATATATGTAGTATCAACTATCCCAATTTACACACAAACAAATAATAGAACCTAGTTTGGAAAAAATTGAAAATAATACGGAAAATTCGAATATTCTAATGAATTATTAGTCTATATAACAAAAGTGATACATAACATATCTCATTTTGCCATTTAATTAATCAAATACATATATCGAAATATCATATAAATGACCCCATTTCGATTGGTTTTAATTGATATCAGTTTTTTAGTTGTTAAATGATAGGATTCCTAGTTACGAAGTAATTTCATATTGTTTTCGTTAAATATTGAAATAATTATGTATTACCAAAAATTATTCTTAAAAATACATATTTTTTTTATGAGTGATAATTGTTGTTAATTATCTAAAGGTACTTTCATAACTTTCATAACATTTATGACAAAACAAATACGTTTAATAATAATAACTATATCAACCACAACAACAACAACAATAATATTTTTATTACTATTATTATAAAAACAATAATAGTAATAATAAGCGCACAAATATCAATCACAACACTAGAATAGTAATAACAAGAATCAAGAAAATAGTGAAACAACATTAGGCTCTTTAAAAAATAATTTTGAATCTGAAACAGTGGGGAAGTAATGAACAAGAGTAAGACATAGCACAGTAATTTTGAATAGGATTCATTTAATAAGGAAAATTTTCTAAATTGGAGCAAAAATGTTTTGAATTTCCAAAATAGTTGTCATGTTTTTATTCCCTAAATAGGAATAATATAATATTTTCGAATCTAAAAAAATACTATCTAGTTTGAAGTCCGGTAATTCCACAACATGATAATAATTACTTATATTTTGGAAATAAAAATATGACAATCTTATATGAAATTTATAAACGCTTTTACTTCTACTTAGAACAATTTCCTCATTTAGTATAACTAAATAAATCATAGTTTGAGAAAAAAACATAATTAATCCTATTCGTAACACTCAGTATGTTTTGCTCTTCAGAAATTGCTTGATATAAGATTAAAACATACAAAAAGTGCAAAAAATAGGACTACTTATATTTGATTTCTCAAATATGACTTATTTAGTTTTATTGAAAAATACCTTACTTAAAATAATGATAATCATCTTTTATTTTGAGCCACTCCTACTAGGAGTACTAGCTCAAATCATGCATCAAAAGAAGAGAGTGTGTGCTTCTCATTATTTTGATGGCATCACTAATTCACATTTACAAGCTCATAAAACGTAATTAAGAAACCAACCTTAATTGGATAGGGTGGATTATTAGTGATGAAAACCGCCTCGGATTCTTGGATGGAATTAACATTGATTGCGCATCCATGACTTGTACCTCCTGCTGCTGCTGATTCATCATCCAATGAAAAGAAGAGGGGAGATGGCTGATCACCAATTGGGATTTGGATTCCACTGTTGAAGCACTGAAAAGGAGCCCTTTGGTGGTTAGGGCTGTTCATTTCTTCAAACCCTGGGCTGCTGAAACTCATCATTCCATGTTCATTCAAGTTATGGAGAGCTACTCCAATATTGAACTCTCCCATGGAAATAGTTAATCAAAGGCTTTTGTTGTGAATCTAGTTTATAGTATGTTTATATATATAGTGCATGTGTCAGAAAATTATACGAGTATTTATTTAATTATATAGATAGTACTCCGTATAATGTATGTGTGATAATGTGATAAGAGAGGTTATGGGATTTGAAAGAGAATGTAATGACTACAAGATTGATTTAGGTTGGTGCGTTCTCAATGACGTGATAGGGGAAAAGGTACTTGTATTAAATTTGCATATGCATCGAACTTGTTATTTTTTTAAAACATGTATACTTTTCTGCTAGTAATCCTCGAACAAACAACCTTCTCCTTTAGAATTGTGTCGGGTAAATTGTAAGTGTGCATTTTTTTTGTAAATGTGCATTTTAGTTCCTATATTAATATTACATCCGTCCCTCATCCTAATTAAAATGAAGGTGCAATTTTAGAAATATATAAACCTGATTGATATTGAATTGACAAATGAATTGACAAAGTGAGAATAAACTAAAAATCGTTTAAACTTTAAACCAGCACAAACCTCTTCAAATTAGTTATGGAAAAATCTTATAATTAATGGGACCGAACGAAAAGGAATGATGGGAGAAGTTGTTCCCAAATTATTATTTCCATGTTAGGATCATGGGGGTTTTGCTAGGTGTACACAAAATGTGTACACCTTTTTTGTACACTTGTCCGTCTCAGACAGACAACTTGTCTGCCTGGGAAAGATAAATGTACAAAAAAGTGTACACATTTTATGTACATCAAGCATTTTTCTAGGATCATCAACCAACCTTCCATATGCCTCCACATTCCTTCCAAGTTCATCCTCTAACTAGTGTCACATACATGTCCCACGGAGCTGTTTTTGGCGTGGGTACCTGGCGGGAGTACATGTAAGTACACAAAACTTTAAAACAGCATTGCAAACACATCTATAGAATTAGTTCAATACGTACTGTTTTATACTTTTATTTGTAGAAGGTTCGCCAAATTGATTTTTCTTGTTCAATGACAATCAACTTTGATCAATAATATTTTTTAATACAAAATTTTTAGAACATGAATATTATATCAAAATGTTCCTCATTCAAAATACTTCCATAAAAGTACAAAACTTATAAATCATATACAAATATATAAATTAAAATCGTTGTCTAAAGTTTATCATCATTGACTAAGAAAAGTTAATATGCCGAAGTTTTTCAGGACGGAGATACTAGGTAGTACTAGTATAATGGCATGGAGTCCCCTAGGGGAGGGGAGGGAAGTGAGTGATTTGTGTGTGTTTGGTTGAAGGAAATAGGGGGAAGGAGGGAAGGGGGGGGAGTCGAAGGATTCCAAAATCCTACACTTCCTCCCATTCTAAACCCCCTAAATCGAGGTATTTCGGAGGAAACGTGTTGATAATCATAAGCTATCAATCTCCTACGTGAATGGACAAAACGTTATAATATAAAAAGGTAAAACCATAAAAAAAAATTAAAAAATTAAAAAAGTAAAAAAAAAAAAAATATGACTCGTGACCTTAGGAGTAATATTTACAATAGTTAGAGATGGATCTATTTTTTAAGTAAGCTATCAAATAAAGGTAAATTGGGAATATATTTTTAGTAAACCTTTCCTCCTATTTCCTTCAACCAAACACATTCTTTTTATCAAAATCCTTCCTTTCCTTCCCTCCTTGACTCTCCCTTTCCCTCCCCTCCTTTGAACCAAACAAGGCCTTACGGTACCTCACTAATAAATTAGGATAATATACGTACAATACAAATTTGATTTTGCATCCCATTTTACTATCCAAATTGGACTTTGCACCCGTTTTTAAAAAAAAAAAAAAAAAAAATTGTTTTTGCACCCCAGCCCTGTACGAAAAGACAAAAATGTCCCTCGATTAAGTATATGTTGAAGAACAACAGAATTGTTAATAGATGGCCATATTTGTCTTTTCATACGAGGTTGGGGTGCAAAAACAATTTTTTAAAAATGGGGTACAAAGTTTTGTTTGAAAAAAAAATAACGTACAAAATCAAATTCCACCTACATTTAATTGTTCCAAGCCATTATCTCATCATTTATTGATATTTAAATTGTTCAATTGCAATACTAATCGGTCCACTAAGATAATTAGGTCTGGTACTTTGGGAGTAATTTGAGGGTATATCGCAGAATATATCTTTTAACAATTGCTTTGTGGGTCATTTTTCTCATATTAATTTAGGGATGTGATTTTATATACGGTGATGTGATAGTATTCCATTGTTTTGCTTTGTGGGTCATTTTTTCTCATATCAAGGATGTGATTTTCTATACGGATATGATAGTAGTTTGGGAAAGGCCGGGGGCAAAAACCCCTTCCTTCAAGTTGTTACCGGAGGGTATCTGATCTAAGCCCTTAAACTATTTTTTTGTGCAAAAAGGTTCAAAATTAATGGAAGGAGGGCAATCACCCCCTTACTAACGGTGAAGGAGTTAACCGAAGTTAATTCTTTGCTTATATTACCGTATGTAGCAGTGTAGCACAATTTTAATCTGAAAGCATTTTTGATATTTTTTTTCTTTTGATTTCAGCTTGTGGTCTATTAAAGATGTAAATATAGAATATTGTGGTAACATGTTGAATTTTACAATATTCACATGCTCTACTTTAACTACGTTTTATTTATTAATGTATTAATAAATTATTGTTTTTAAAAATATTTTTAAATATGTCTCATTTTAAATTTTCATTTTTTTGTTTTTTATTAATAGAGAATTGTACTTGTTCCATCGCTGAATTAATTTTCAAATTTTCTTTTTCGTCAATCTCAAAATATTTTTTTGCAAAGAATTTGTGGTTCATAACATGTTTTACACATTGTCATATGTTTCTCTCTCTTTTCAGTACAATCTCCACTGCACCACTAATATATACTTCATCCGTCCTTGAATTATCTTCCAAAGTTGTTTTTGCACGGGAATGAAGAAAGGGAAAATTGTATGGTAGAGCGTTGTACCGAAGAGAGAAAAATGTGTAAGAATGTATAAAACATGTTGTGAACCACAAATTTAAATTATTTTGAGATGGATGAAAAGGGATATTTGAAAATTAATTCAGTAACGGAGCGAGTATAATTCTCTATTAATAAAGAACAAAAAATGAAAATTTATAATGAGACTAATTTAAAAATATTTTAAAAAATGATAATTTATAAATACATTAATAAATATAGCGTAGGTGTACACTCCGTAAGACCGTAAAACTTAATACTCCGTCAAACTTAATACTCCGTAAAAGTAGAGCATGTGAATATCGCAAAATTCAACATGTAGCATTTATTTAAAAAGATAGAAAATATGTCCTCATTTTAAGACCAAGTTGAAATTAAAAGACAAATTATCAGAAATACTTTCATATTAAAGTTGTGCTACATACGGTCATACTAACCCAAGAAACAACTTACGTTAAATGTTTCACCGTTAGTAGGGGGTTATTGCCCTCCTTGCACCAGTTTTGAAGTTTTTTGCACAACAAAATAGTTCAAGGGCTTAGATGCCCTTTGGTGCAAACTTCAAGGGGGGGTTTTGCCCCTTTTCCTTGGTAGTTTCCATTGTTTTTAATGCATGGTATTCTTAATGGTATTTTGTAGTTTGTGTACTTATGCAAAAGTTAAAGATATTACTACCTCCGTTTCACTATGTTTGGGACAAAAGGATGTGACACAACTTTTAAGAAACGGTGGAATTGTGTGGTTGATATTGAATTGATAAAATGTGAATTAAGTAAAAATGAATTGTAATCACTCAAATATTATCAAATATGGTATGAGACAAACATAATGGGACGGACGAAAAAGGTAAAACGGGACAAATTTAGGGGGACGGAGGGAGTAATAGTCAAAATTGTGCCTTAAGAAATACTTGGTACCTAGTATGTGAAAATCAAATAGTTACAACTGAAAAAAATGGTAGCATAGTGTTATTTGTGTTTCATTTAGTACTCTGACAATATTATATCGAATAAATATTAATCGGAGGACTAAAATGAAATGGGACATACCTAGACATTACCACTATTGTGAAGAAATTAAATTGTTTGTTCAGTATGATAAGTATCTCATATCGTACTGAAAGTTTTTTATATCTGAACTTTTTTATAAATCAACAATAGTATGTACAATAAGTGATTAAGTTGGATGTACGCATATAACTTTTTTAGAAATGCATTCAGTATTCCTAGCTCGCTTCTCCCCATCCCTGTAAATATACTTGTGAATATATATAATCGAATTTTATTAGAGCATTTTTAAAAATGAATACGATTATACGATCAACGGATCAAGTATGTGGTCTTATACTCCCTCCGCCCCAAAATTAACTTCTCACTTTCCTTTGCAGGTAGTTCTGAAATTAATTTCTTACTTCCTTATTTAGCAAATTATCTACATCAAAACAATACAATACAATGTCAAACAGTGTCGAAACAGTAAAATATTTAGGAAGTTGTTTAGGAAGTTATTTCCTTAATATGTGTGAAATCCAAGTGGGAAGTTTGTTTCGGGATGGAGTATATGTTTTGGATCTTGGAGTACAAAATTATTTAGGAAGTTTGTTTAAAGTCCTAGCTATTTGCATGATGGGTCCACTTTCAAATCGAGAAAGCAGGACCGTAGTTGAGCTTTGATCAAGTTTGGCTTTAAAGTAAGAATGCATATATGGCTTGGCATCAAGTGCTTTGGAAATAGTGAAATACGGTGACAATGTAAGACTAGTGTGTGAGTGAATACATCCATACGTGTATATAGCATGAGTCCGGTAACAATGATACTCCCTCCGTCCCTAATTTACCTCCCCTTTTGACCCAGCACGGAGATTAAGATAGTGGATTTTGTGTGGTGGAGAGTTGTGCAGAGAGAAATGTGTAAGAATTATTGTGAATCACAAATCCTTTGCCAAAAAGGGAAAGAGGAGATAATTTAGGGACGGACCAAAAAGGGAAGTTTGAAGATAATTTAGGGACGGAGGGAGTATTTCATTTGCGAATCTATGAACCATCTACTATTGGGTTATCTTAATAGAATTATGCACATTCCACCACATGATATCTGAGTAATAAAAATCAAAACGTTTTGAAATTCCAAAATAGGACTATCATGTATTTTATTTTTTGAATAGGAGTAATCTGATAAGTGTGGAAAAAAAATGTCATGTTTTGGAATGTCAAAACACGGGTCTCAAATTTAGTGCATACGTTCATT